TATTTGACAATAGAACTAATGGGGTCTATCGTTTTTGCACTCAGGAGGTGGCGCCACTGTCGAATAAAGTCTTCTCAATCAAGTCTAAAGCCAATTTTTTAAGGTATTTCAATTTGACCTGACATATTTTAATTTATTTTATCATAGTACCTGTCTCTCATTTTCTAAGTGAAGATAGCATATTTTTATAGAAGTGCTTTTCAATTAATGGTAGACTTATTCTACACTAGCGCCCTCCGCGATTAGTTTAAGTACGACAGTTCTCAGTAGTTCCAGAAACAGTAGCATCTTAATATGATTTTCCACGGTGCGAGGTATTAAACGAGTATGCATATTTTAGTAATGATTTTACACCGTATTAATAAGCGTATAAAGATCAAATTTGCTAATCAACCAAGATTTAAACTGTCAAACACCAAGCGGTCACCGGTGACCGCGACCTATTGTTCTTTAATTGTGTCTATAAGACCGGTACTCGACGAGTTAATAAGTTGTTGTAAGCAGCAATGCTATAGAGTTCAATCTTGTTTGACGAATTTGCGTGATTATTCATACGAGCACCGTGGGAAATTAGCTTTTAAAATAAATTCAATATCGAATCTAAAGTAGGTTGCAGATATTTTTAAATATTGTGAATGCCGTCTCATTCATAGCATAATGAAAAGAAATAATATGTTTGTGCACTATATCTAACTACATTTCTGAAGTATCTACTTTTTATTTCTTTATTAATTTTCAAATGTTTCGCAGCTTGTATTTTACGAAACAGTTTTATTTTCTTATTTTTTTTTTAGTTCTTTTAAATAGGTTAAAGTTATTTATTTGGTTTTTAATACAGTAAACGATGGAGAAAATTTTGTAGAATACATAACACACGATTATTATATAGTGTACTGTTATTACTGGTGCTAAAATTATTTGACGTAATTCAACTTCAATTATTATAAACTACAAACTTTTGTCTCTAAATTAATTGTGTAATAACAAGATAATCAATATTAAAATATTAATAAATATATTCTTCTGGCCTCTTGTAATATTTATTTTAAAATATGTAATAAAAAGTTACTAGTCTTGTATACGTCATCGGGGTTCTTAAAATGCAGCCAGTTACGCTTCGCTTATTTTGAAAATAGAATTGCTTCTAACTTCTGCGTATGTTGAAGACCTCTTGTGTGTTTTGAATGAGGAAATAAAGAGCTCTGGCATGTTTTGAGAACCTCTAAATAAATAAATATGGAATATAACAAAGTTTAAAATGTTATGATAGAATCCTTTGAGTTATGAATGTGATTTTCCAATAAAATCCAATATATTGATATAATTATAGCAAAATTTGGACGTCTAGCATAGGTCATTGTAAATTTTTGTATAAAGTCGTTGTTTAGTGTGTCAAAATTGTATAATAGCGAACAATTTGTTATACCTTTCATTTGCCGATTAGTGTATGCTTTTTATTATCAACTTCTTTTTATTTATTTATGCTAGTTAAGCTTTAATAAATCATATTTTATTACTCGTTTCATGGTTGTTTTATTTGTCGTATCTAGAAATACACAGATTCTTTATATATTAAAGCATAAAATAACATCACGCCTTTTATCCCCGAAGGGGTAGGCAGAGGTGCACACAGAAGTAACACCCACTTTCATTATTTATGTTATGAGTCCGATGTAATAGGGGGTGAGCCTATTGCCATATACCGGGCATATTTCCAGAATCCGTGCTACTACTGAGATTTTATGTTTTTTTTTTTAAACCCAGTAATAATTTGCCCGACCCGGGAAATGAACCCGAGACCCCTTGGCCAGCAGTCGCACTTGCAACCACTCGGCCAACGAGGCAGTCATATATTAAAGTCATAAATATAACGAAAACTAGACGTCTTAGCTAAAAAATAACCAAATTTTCAAACCATCGTAGACATACACACCGACGTGCTCCATCGTAGACCGCATCATCGCTTACCACCAGGCGAGATAGTGGTCAAACGTCGGCCCATCAAATATAAAAAAAATGTAAATAAATATTTCATGACTAATGGAGAGGGTGGCAATGACCCTAGGTGCAGTGGGCCTACTTATCTTGCGAACGTACACTGTTAATTTAATTATTAAAAAATAGTTTAGTAAACTTATTCTGAGTGCCTCAATGGCAGAGTGGTCGCAAGTGCAACGACTGGGCAAGGGGTCTCGGGTTCGATTCCCGGGTCGGGCAAAGTATTACTGGGGTTTTAAGAAAAATCTCAGTGGTAGCACGGAGTCTGGAAATGTGCCCGGTATATGGCAATAGGCTCATCCCCTATTACATGGGACTCATAACATAAGTAGTGAAAAGTGGGTATTACTTCTGTGTGCACCTCTGCCTACCCCTTCGGGGATAAAAGGCGTTATGTTATGTTATGTATGTTAACTTATTCTGAAGTACCAGGACTTCATAAAGTAAGTACTAGGAAATGTGGGTAAGAATTATTTTTAGCTCATCATTATAATAAGATGTTAAATAAATAAAAATCCAATTAAAAATACCAACTGTGTAAATTTTATTTTCTGGATATAAACATAATTACATTTAGTTACATACCTACATATTTACAGAATTATTTACATTTAAACTAAACATTTTTATACATTTATCAATAGGCATTTGGTGTAGGTAGTAGGTATCTCAGGTACTATTAAAATTTTATTCATAAATCGTACAAAATTAACAATACTTGGCTGATTACCGAAATCCAGGACCATCGTATTCTGACCTTCTCTCCGAATTTCAGATAGTCCTATTAGACACATTTTGCAAAATTTTTCCTTTAGCTCGACATTTTTTTTCAATGTGCGAATGTTATGTATTGCCAGGGCCAAAGTTCGTTGGGGCTGGTAGCAGTTCATCTGCCGGGAATTCTTAGCACCTCCAGCCCCGCCGTTACCTGATCTGCTACTTAGATCAGGAATGGCGGAGCTGTCGGTTACTGGGGCCTGTGTATTTGGGCTCGTAATTCAAAGTGAAGGAGGAGGAGATTACCATAATCCCCATGCTTGGCAAACGGCTTGGGAATCGCAGTTTGGTCATCCGTATATTTAAGGGCATGCTACTGATCATTCCTCGCAGCCTGGTCGCAGTTTTAGGACGTAACCAGGCCCATAAACAATGCGCAAAAAACGAAATATGGTTGACGAGGATCGACCCTTACGAAAGCCGAAGCCTTAAGAAACGAAACTCTATCATCCAAGCAACTTACAGCTTCATCATCAGCCGAAGCAGCTGACAGTTGAGTATCGATTCAATTATAGTACTTCTTAGGTGAAGCAGTACTCCTTTTTCAATACGCAGCGCAGGACTAGAGAGGATGGAATGAAAAGCTCCAACCTGCAGCACCACATCGGCTACAGAATCAGCAGCGGCGTTGGGATCATCCAGTGAAAAGGATCACATCCCATCCCAATTCGCTGACTTGTAGTTCCAAACGCGATGGCCACGTGTAACCTGCTATCGCGGCGAACTCGTTCGTGTAGGGCACCGTATTTTGGATGAGACAATGATCTGAAGACGCGAGTGGACCGTCAAAAGATGTATTATGTCCGCCCGTAAGAGAAGTCAGAGTTTCGTAGAAGGTGAGGCATAGGAAAACCTATGCTTAGGCATAGGCTTTTAGTCGTCCAAAATGGAATTTGCGTGGGTGTGGCAATCAATTGTGTTGGGCCAGAAGTAAGGGCAAAGTCACGAACAGATCTATATACTGAAACAGAGACAGTTAATCGAGAGGGCATTAAAGCCACCAAGTAAAATGTTCCTGCTGAGGGTACCTGCTGCTGCACAACCATCTGGATGTGCTTCATGAGTTGCAGCGTCGCTATCACTACCCACCACCCACCGCTGAGGGATCTATAGACGGACGTATAGATGTGAGGATACGGATAGTTTTTGCTATCTGTCGATATATGTATCTAGCCAAAACGTGGAGGTTTCTACTCTCAAGATTACTGAGGAGACGAGAGCTGATATCGGCCCTGACATGCACGCACACCTTGACCTTGGGTAGAAAGGATATTTTCTGTTCATAACCAGGCTATGGGTGAGGTAATAAGTGTCCGACCGGTTTTGCTATCTCGAGGTTGCGGTGGACAGTGTTGAGGTTGGTATGTAATACCCTGATGTTGCAGAAATCCATGGCCAGCATGGCAGGGGTGTCAAAGTTTTGTTCTTGTTTTGTGCATTCTGAAATTTTTTGCCACTCCCCCTCATGCTTTTCCTTGGGGCGGCTTGGGACGTCTTGGCAGGAACTTTCGGTACCCTCCTGGGGTAAAATGGTGGTAAGGAACTAAGCCACTATAGTTTGGCCTCTGTTCCTCTCACTCATTCGGTAAAACACAATGCGAGCGTTGTTTTCTCCGGCTTTTTGTGAGGTCGTGGTATTACTCCGATTGAGCCGGCCCATTTGTGCTGAAGAATGGATCTCCCACGTAACAAAATAGTAAATATTCCGTCTACAATTAATACATAATAATAAAATTGGAGGTTACTTAGTATCTATGTAAAATAATGAAAATGTTTTTATGGTCTGGTCAGTACCTGCTGATTACCTACGATCAATGTTACCTTGAAAAACATAATAATAATAAAACAAAACTTAATTATAGTGTTGTCTTTGGTTCACTTTCATAGTAACATAATTTCTGCTCATAATATATCCTGAGTAATGTTTAGTCACCTATTATTGCAATACATGTATTTTATATTTCTGTATAACTATTATTAAAACACATTACTTTAAAAAATAATTTAGACCGACCTCGGCCAATCAAACTTCAAGGATAGAATGAACTGAAGTCTGCCATGAACAGAACATTGGTATACCCTGATTTGATACAATTTTACAATCATAACAATTTATTACTACATAATATTTACATTACTACTACATCTTACATAGTCAGATTTGTTCCCTGTTTTCATATTATCAAGTAACTTACAATTACACATTACAATTACATGTCTGTGCACTAAGTGGGTGCTTCCTCTATCTGCTGCGGACAGTTGTTGGCGACGCGACTGGGCGTCCTGTTCAGTAGGAAGTCCAGGTCGTGGGATATCTTGTGCAGCACTTTGTCTGTCTGTGTGAATGTACTGTGTGTGGTGGGAGTTTGGGACTGTGTGTCCACTAGCTGTAGATGGGAGTTATTCTGCTCGTTGCTCTCGTGGTGAATGGACGGCAGGGATGTACTCCATGATAGTTGAGGCGGACGCTTCTTGAGGCAGCTCTTGATAGGACGAGGTACTGTGTTCACTGCTGACACGTCGGGGTTAGACTGACTGCAGATTTTACAGCTCTCCTGAAAATTTTCAATGACATTATATCACCACATACTTCCTTTAACAACGTCCTAAAAATTGTGTTAAGTCGTATTTAAAGTTACCTTGGGTGTGTCAGACGAGTCTCCAGTGTACGGTTGTTTGTGTGACTCGGCGGGTATTGGCGGCGAAGTAGGCAACACACGTAACTCGACACACACGTGCGAGACGTGTGACTGGTTACCCATGCACGAGCCCGCACCACCAGCTGAAATGGTACCACTAGTTCATTAGTTTCTTTTTTGAAAATTATGTCTACACCTGACAACAAGTCCCTATCACTTACTTGATTGAGACTTGAGACTCATTTAGCAAAAAGTCAGGAGTAATAAAATCTATGCTCTATGATGATATGATTACGACCGATGTCACTGTACGTACAATAAACTCGTTACCTGTGGGTATAAGGTCGCAGAGAGCTCGAGTCTCCGTAACTCGCGGTGGTAGCAGAGCCTGCTTGTACTCCACGCAGCGCACTATGTCCGCCACACACGCACCGCTCGACCCGCGCCTGATCACACCAATTATATCAATTATATTACACAGTTCTATGACCACCAGATACTGAACAATGACGAAACTCTAGCTCACCGATGCAAGGGGCTCTGCAGCGGCGTGGCGCGCCAGTACGTGTTGGCGGGCGACACGTGCGACGAGGAGCACTCCAGCGAGCCCACTGCACCGCGACACTCCATCTCTCGACCTTGTCTTATGTACACTACAACACAGTCAATAATAGTTCATTTAGAATTCTGCATATCTCCACAAGTAGACAATCATCATGACAATTGCTGTACGATTATCGGCAACTTACAACTTAGTGATGTGTCTCCCTCTGTAGTACCCTGCCATTCGTTGTGCGTGGAGAGCGTGAGCAACCGCCGAGCTGCTCGAAGACACTCCTCGTCGCAGATCAGGTAGCATATTAGCATGGCCAGACCCTGGACAAATATGAAAAAACCAAGTAAGAATTTGGTTTGGGTTGATCTTAAAACTGTTTACAAATGGACGTATTCTATTCTTTACTTACATTAGCTAACGAAGCTATAGACAGCGATACAACGAGAGACATGGTCCTCTCGCCTGGCTGCGCATACGCTACTCCTGCAGCCTGTGTCGCTGTAGTAGTGAAGAGTAGTACTAATGTATGGCGCACCACTCGTGCTCTCTCCCGCACATACTCGCGTCTGTCGGGCGGCAGCTTGTGTGTCACCTGGGACGCAAAGAAGAACAGTCAATTTACTCTAAGTAGTAGCAGTTGGAGTAAAGCTGAATGAATGAATGAATGACAGACTACGCCAACTCTAAAGTATGAGTGAAACATTACTTAAGATTTTATTGTACATACATACATATGTCCATACTTGTAGATTAAAAGGTATGAGCTATGCTTACTGTCCGTAACGTCCTGGCAGCACAGAGTGCGAGGCACAGTGTGAGAGCTGCTAACAACGCGGCACCAGCTCCACAGACTACATTAGCGGCCGCGCCCAGCTGCAGAGGTGCTCCGCCCCACAGCCGGGCTGTTAACCAACACATCGTGCTCACACCTGAAACAAGTTTACCATGATCTGATTATTTAAATCTTATCCTTTGTCTTCAAAGTCTCTGATAGTGTGGGTTCCTATGGAAATAAACCAGAAAGACCCTTACCTGCCAGTAGACCTACAGATGGTGCTCGAGTAGCTGTGGCCGCCAGCTCAGTGTGTAGAAGCAATGGTTGTGCACACAATGCGGCACACCCCGCACACCAGCAGGCGGCCACTGCCCAGCCCAATGGTCCAACACATGCAGGCGGCTGTGGACACGACGGCAATTATAGATACAAATTCACAACAAATGATGATGATGCAAAACATAAAAAAAAACATTTTGAAACTTAAAACTCACGTGTCTGGTATCACATTCCAACAAAGCCAGCAGTGAAGCTGAATGTGTGGCAGCTGTAGCAGCTTTCAGCATCACAGGTAGCTTGGTCTCATTCCCTGCGACTAGGCTTAGCAATTGCAGTAACGCTGCCACAAGACACATTGCACTTCCCAGGCTCACTGTGATTTTAACAATACCTCGAAGGTCCGTTTCGGAGTCTGTCTGAAAAAATAAATAAGTGTTACATCAGGATCAGTATGAAGTTTAGACACCATATGCAGAAGCAAAGTAGAAAACAACGCATGGGATGAATGGGTCATATTAGTACTTAAAGACCAAGACTCTCGTTGGGTAGCTTAGATAATGGAATAAGTTAACTACAAGATACGCAGTACTCACGAGTGAAGAGCTGTCCACAGTAAACAGAGCGATGGTGGCGAGTCCTCTGCAGCGGCAGGCGACATGAGTATGTTCTTGTATGCGCAACTCACAAGTATGGGAACTCCAAACGCGTGGCGAGGAACGCGACCGACTCCCGCAAGAAAGCTGAGGGGCTGATGAAAGAACTGGTTTTAGTACATTTTTAGTCCTCCTCGATGTTCCAGAAGTAGTGAAACTTACCATTAGCGCTGTAATTCTTGGAATGTGCGAACAACAGTGTAACAATATGAGGAAGCGTAGGGTCCACTTCCGCACCGCTGACGGATACTTGTATTTGTTGCGAAGCTACTGTATATTGTGTGGCACAGCCAGACCTGAAAGAGTTGCCGCTAGAGCTACCTCGAAAGAATTAGGAACAAAAAGATAAAATTAACAAAAAATAAAACACCAAAGAAAAGTAACAAATAAATCCTTACTTGTACTCGATGTATCTTCTTAACGATGGCAGCCGTGCTCCCAAGTTATGGTACAGTACAGTCGCCACGGTAGTGTTGGTGGCCTTGGCAGTCAATTCGACTCCTACAGAAGTCGCGAACCATTCCTCATTCCCCAAAAATGGTTGAAGATCGAAATGCGCTGCAATATCATTGTGTGCTGCTTTCGTTTTAACTGTAAACTCCTGGAAACGCCTGTCGAAGTTATTCTTGAGGCCAGCTGTGTCCATCACAGCATTTTGAAGATTGAAGACTTTCTATCAAAAAACGAATGTATTAAACAGTTGATTGACGAATGTTTCTTCATTGTACATTATTGTTCTGCTGCTACTAACCTCTTCATCCAAGAAGGCATCAGGGTGTTTGAGCAGATTGTCGTATATATTAAGCAGATGCTCCGCGCTGTGGTATCTATCAGTTGGTTGGGCGGCAGGAGACATGAGGTAGTTGAGCATGTGCACTGCGTGTGTGAGGGGAGGCTCGCCCTCGCCCGGGTGTGTGGGCAGCGACCGCAGCACTGCTCCGTACTGACGTGACACGTGCGACACAGAGCCCCACGAGTATCCCATCGATATCAACGTAAACTGACAACAATATTTTGATGTCAGACATTTGTACACAAAATAATTTGACTATGATATAATTTCAATGGACCTAAATACCTGTTCATAAATATCCCTCAGTGAGTCCGCAACACAACCGGAAAAATCTGGCTGTCTCCATTTGAGGCCATGCTGTCCTGTCTTCGGCTCACAAAACCTGGAAGTAACCTTTTTATTGATATTTTATCGTTAAAAAAAAGCCTATGTTCTTGTCCATTGTATAGTGACCTAGTTGTTTCTCCACTGTGTCCAGGTGGACAAGATGCAGTCGCGTGTGCTCCCGGAGCGGTCTTCGGCCATCGCAAGCCGTGTGAGGTGTCGCTCTCGCACGCGGCGTCGTCAGTTCCCAGAGCCCACATGGTTACCGCTTTAGCATTGGTACCAGCTACTGATGACACTTGACATCGGAACTCACTGGATTTCTGTACAGAAACAGGTCTATTTATACAATTCTGTACTTGATTAAAGTGAAAACCAAAGGTAATAACAGATTATTTGATGTACCTGTACGTTATAAAGCTTCAGCACACTGCCTGCTGGATAAAGATCCTCCCAGACTTCCCTACCTGGTGCCATGGGTAGCAGAGTCCTCTCTCTCGCCCAACTGAATCCAAGAGCACCGTGCACTCGTCCAGCTCCCGCCAGACAAGTAATACTTACATTGTCACCCTGGAATAAATAAATAAATGTAGTGTAGTATAAATTCTTGAAGAGAAGAAATAATGCTAATATATTGAATGGACTTACTTTATGAACAGTCAAGGTGGACGGCACTAGTCGTATCTCAGGTGGTCTTAATACTGTCAGTCTCAACGCTCTGCAGCGTCTCCTGCCAGCATCGTCTGCTGCACAGGACCACTTGCCGCTGTCCAGTCTTTCCGCTTCTGATACACCTAGCACCGACAAACGACGACCGAGTGCGTCTTCTGCGACTGTTCGCGTCCAAATGTCTCTAAAAACATCGAATTGACTTTTAAAATTATGTACTGGAAGCATCTTTGAAGAGGAATTCTTTGCCAGAGTCTGTATTTCCTGAAGCTTATAACCTGGGAGTCTTCAAGGCCCGAGTGCATAGGTTGCTTATGGGACGACGTGCTCCATCGTAGACCTCATCATCGCTTACCACCAGGCGAGATAGTGGTCAAACGTCGCCCCATCAAATATAAAAAAAATCTATTTGAACTAATGATGTTATTGTGTCTATCAAAGTTAACACGTTAAACACCATGGGGGTCACCGGTGACCGGCGTTACCGGAGGATTTACCTTCAACAGTTTTTTATTGGCACTCAGTCTTAAGAAGGGTCTTTCAAAAATCTATCTACATTTTAAGAGAAAATCCCAAAAAATCGCAGCTTATTAAAACGTGACAGAACGTTCTCATTTTCGACTTTACAAAATGAAGCCATCAGTACGGGAACGCTTTGGGAGTTGGACAATTAATCGGTGCGGTTAAATAACAGTCACCGGTAATTGGATGGGTGGCCATTCTCTGTTGGGACTCAAAAGCGTCGTTAACTCGTCGAGGTTGCATCTGACTATTGTAGTGACGAATTTTATGACTGGGTTGAGTAGATTGGATTTTGTGACTGGTAAATGTTTACGTTGCAAATTTTATTGTGACGTAGTTAAATAAAAGGGGTTTACGTACAGTCAAAACGGCAACTCATGTTATTCATCATCAGCCGTGACCTGTACATATAAGCTGTACCAAAGGCTTCTTCTCACACGGTGTAGGTTTGAGGGTAAACAACCGCGCTTGCTCAATGCGGATTCATCATCAACAGCCTATAAATGCCCACTGCTAAGCAAAGCCTCTTCTCACACGGAGAAGGTTTGAGCATTAATCACCATGCTTGATCAACACGGGTTGGCGATTTCAAACTTATAATTATAAATTATAAGTCCAGGTTTCCTCCCGATGTTTTCCTTCACCGTTTGTCAGTGGTGTCTAAATAATCTTGTACTCATGTTATTTATGAGGTAAAACTTTTGTTTTTGTTCGATTTTTAAGGTTATAAGTAAAAACTGTCAATTTCTTCGAAATATTTTCCCAACGCAAGTTTCAGATGACTATTCGGCGAGATGAATTAATAAGAAGGCATGTGTTAACCAATGGATGTCTACAGAATATTGATGATACTGAAAATGATGATGAAAACGTTCATCATAATATTGTTATAACGAACTCACCTTGTTGTTCCATTGAAGTTAATCTTGACACCGTCTTTGTACCACGTGAATGCAATGTATGGGGACCCGTATGCCATACAAGTCAGTATGAACTCTGATCCCTCCCATACTTCGGGTCGTTGATTGATTAGTAAAGCCTGAACAGAAAGATTTAGTATTTTGAAAACGCAGAAACAGCATACCAATGTTAAACATAATGCCTTCGTACATCCCGAAAGGCTAGGGCAGAGATGTAGAAATTGGACATTATACTATTACATCAAATCGCTATTTATGTTGGTTCCCATATTCCCATGTAATATAAGCGAGGGTAGCTGACTCCACTTTTGAGACTGAGCTATAACTAAAAATGTTTCTGAACCCCAAAAAAAAATACCAATACTATGTTGCCGGGAATTTAACTTCGGATTCCGGGTTCAGTAGTCTCATTTGTGACCTCTTCACCAACGAGGCAGTTTATGTAGGTACCTACATAATACATAGGTACGTAATACACGAACACGTACTAAACTACTTATAGACTTCTGTACACACAAGTACGCAACTGTTGACATCGTTACAAACTTTTTCAATTAAGCTCACCACGCTGCACTAAGAATGTTAATATATTATACCTACCATATTTCGAGGTGACACGGGACTCCGGTATTTGAAACATTCTTATTTTCTTTATAGAACGCCGGAAATATTTAGCGTTTAATAATATTAGGTACGAACTAAATTCGAGAAAAATGGCAGTGGAATTTTCTAAGTCTTTTAAAAAAGAAAATACTATTTTAGTATTTTACGACTTTGGGTTAGATGAACAAGTGATTTTGTGTCCGATTCTTGGGGCAGAAGTCGGTTACCGTTTATTATTATAGGTTTTTTAGATTTACTGAACATTATACTAATACATGGTAGTCTTTGGAACAGATCCACAATACAACTGGTGAAAAGTGAGCGGTACACAACTATATTCTATATAAATAAAAATGAATTTCCGTTCGTTAGTCTCGCTAAAACTCGAGAACGTCTGAATCGATTTGGCTAATTTTGATCTTGAACTTGAAATAATCGTGGAAGTCCAGGGAAGGTTTAACCTTTCGTGTGTGTTTAACGTGGATCCACGCGAGACACAATGTATGACGTTATGTTTTGTCACGATAAGAATACTACCTTTACTGGGTTTTTAAAAATCTCAGTAGTAGCATGGAGTCTGGAAATGTGCCCGGTATACGGCAATAGGCTCACCCCCTATTACATGGGACTCATAATATAAATAGTGAAAAGTGGGTGTTACATTGTACAGTGGCATTAAGTGCCGAAATGTGCACCCTCTGCCTACCCCTTCGGGGATAAGAAGGCGTGATGTTATGTTATGTTTTATCACGATTAGAACACTACCTACCTACAATAAAACCTACCACAATTCACTTCGATTTAGTTTCGGCAATCTCAATCAATTTCTTTAGGTACTTTTGTACAAATTGTGGGTAGATAGGAATTAATCGAGCCACGGTTTTCCTAATCCTCTTAAGCGCTTATGCATAGTATAAAGAACACAGTAGGTTATCTAAGGCCGCCCGCCGAGTTATTAGCCTACTCTTGCGTTGATCCCCAGGGTTGTCACTTTTACTTTTAGTTAATATTTTCGAACAAGCAGCACTTGATCTAAATTTATGAAATGAAAAGCATATTATGATTGAATATTTTATCAATTTATAAATTTAGTAAAAATAAAAAGATTATTAACTTCTTAAAATAAACTTTAGCTCTATACATAGTATTCAGAAAGTAAATTTTGGAATACATTTATATGGAAAAATGCGACACGGCCACGCTCTTAACAAATCAGATAAACTGAAATAAACAATACAATACCACATTTTCTTATAATATTTAAGTATAGTAGGTAATTACATTTATGGTTGAGTAGGAACTATGAAGAATGATAAGAGTAAGAATAAGTAAGTAGGTATCTCATCATCAAGTACCTACAAATTATATTATGCTAGAAAAAGTGACTAGCTTACCTTTCCTGTTCAATAGGTAATCTGAACAGAGACAGTTCTGGAATCGATTAATTATTAAGACACCCGAACACACAGCAATACGTTCTTCTACGGTTATCAGACATTTTTTATTTCATTTAACGGTGCCGAAAACCTCGTGCAGTGTTAGCCCTGCCTGGCGCACTGAGAAACGGGTCGAGATTTTGTTAAAGTGTGCGTGCGTCGACGCATAGATACTATGGCGCACACATATAAGCCGCGCGCGGAGCATTTGTATGAAGATAACCTACTTTGTTCTTTATACTATGGCTTATGTTTGCTCTTTAGTTGATTCCTTAGTGTTGGAGATTGATAGTGTCGTTATGGTTGAGTACTATGTATGTACCTTCCGATAATCTGATTGGATAGTTAAGCTGGTTTTATAGCACTTCCAGATTTAAATAAATCGTGGAGCCTTTTTATTCCCGAAGGGCAAATAGACTTTTGTCTAATCTTTTTCTACGCTTAACAAAAGCATGACAATGTTTGGAGATTGTAATACAGGGAGTGCTTCTAATACTGTCTATAATGATAGTATCCTCATAGGTTTTCCAAGGTGTGGTCATGATTGACCGTAAATAGAATAGAATAGGATAGAATAATTTATTTGCATTGAATGTAGGTACATAATATAAGGTCTTACAAAGGTATATCGTTCCTGGTACATTCTACCATATGGCATGCAATTTTTTTTTAAATCTTAATAGCTACGAACATAATGGACTATAATACTTTGTAAAGTATTAGAGATATAATAGCAATATAAACAACTTACTTGCAAGGTAAGTGCAGGGTGCATATCGACGTGTAGTGCAGTTGGCAATAAACGTAACGTTGGTGATCGTGCGCGTGCGGCGGCGAGGCGCGCCAGGGCTGCGCGTACGGCTGCTGCCTCGCGTCTCGCGCCCCATACGCGCACCCATGCCTCCCGTACGCCACCCACTGCCACTGAACTGAGGCAAATACTCTATATAGAAAACATTCAGTTTCTTTTTGGTCATTTTTCCAAGTACTGGGGTGGACACCGAGTCTCAACTGCATTTTAGAAGTATGTTTTAGCTAAAGCGACTGTTTTCCACAGTCCTCAAGCTCAGTAAATGAATTGTTTGAACGGATATAATCGTGAATAGGTTGCTAGGACCACGCGCTCCATCTTAGACCACATCATCGCTTACCACCAGGCGTGTAGTGGTCAAACGTCGGCCCAACAAATATATAAAAAAAAACTTAGCACAGCCAACTTAAAAATATTGTAACACTATGGGTATTTAAATGCAGTTGCAATCAAAATCAATTCGTAGTGTCGTTATAAATAAAATATTTATTCTATTGTCAACAGAATGACAAGACCAAATCAAATAAAATACAACTTAACCCGTCGAGCGTTCGCGTTCCTTATGATCCAACGGGTGCACACGTGACATTTGGAGCATTTTTTCTTATGATCCACCGGGTGCTCATAAGGATGATCGAGGGGTTAACATAATTACATTTTTAAACTTACCTTACATTTAAAACTTCAATGTCATCCTCTAAAGTTATATTTGATATCCTCAAATAGCTTGTTAGCTGCAAGAAAGGCAAGTTATTAGTTTAAAAGGGCTTGTTAATTTTAAATGGGGATGATGACAGGGTATGAAAATTAAAAATATAATTAGTCCGTAAGTTAGGTAATTAAAAAATATTAGATACGTATTTTTTTATTTTGTCGTTTATTAAAACAATACTTAGATAAAACGAATCAAAGTTTAGGAGTGGGGGCTAAAACGTCATTTCTACGTATAAAATGTACATAGAAGTGACGTCACGCGACATTTCAAATCAATACAGCAAATAGCTTCACTTTTAATTTTATTGTTGACGTTCAAAAGTGCCTTTCTGGTCTAATTGAAATAAATGATTTTGACTTTGACTTTGACAATATATCGTCAAAAGTATTCGTTTTCGTAAGAAAATAAAAAATACGTGTCTAATGATTTAAAATAATCTACCAGACGGACATTGAAATAAAAATTAGTCGTCTTCCCTTGGGTTAAATAAAAATACCTGTTTCATAATTTCTTCTGATATGTTTTCATTTGGCAGGTCCACTATTTGCAGTCTTGTTTCGTATCGGGCTGAAGCTGTGTAAGAATGGGGTCGGATTAAAATAAGGGATCGTTCACTATTGAGCAAATTCTTTTTAAAAGAGGCCATACACGCTAGGTTTTGCATGATGGTTTTAGCCGTGCATGCATAACCAACGGGCAAGCCCTAGCGTGTATGTGCTTAAACTGTACAGTAATCGGTGCATCGATTCTCGGTTATGCTTGTCGGTTTTACATGCACAGGTATAACCATCATGCATAACCTACCGTGTATGGCCTCCTTAACATACGACATTTAGATTACATGCTATTGGAAAAGATCAGTAAAGACTTGTACTTAACATTCAATGTTAAAACCTATTTCTTATTTAATAAAGTTCTTATTTCATCAACGTACTAGTGGCGTTACTCCAACTTATTTTAAGTAATGTTAAAACTAAATACTCACTGAAGTCAGTGTCTTTGGGTTTACAATCACAGTTTCCTTCTTTGCAGACTTCTTTACATTCTTCTACACCGCATTCTGGAACAAGAACATCTTATCACCCAAACGGATCTACCTCTTATAGAAGACCCACAGTTATAACAATCTCTGTTTTCTTGATTTATAAGAAATAAGTAATTAGCCGTCAATATAATAGAGAACATACTTATGACAAAGCATTTAGGGAAATACAGGGTGAAAGGTACAAATACACAAATACAGAGTACACAATATTTATATATCCAGTAAATCCAGTTTTCTATTGACTAAATTAGTAACTTAAAACAAAATTTGATAAGAATTTATATGCTATTTTAAAACGAATAATATTCCTTCCAGTATTAGGGCCTGTTTCACAATATCAGTGCCTTTAGCCAAACGCCACTTTAGCGCTTGTCTACAGAGAGAGTAGAAAACTAAATGTATGGGGATGACACTGACAAGTGTCAAAATTTACGTCAATTCCATATAATTTGGTTTTCTATTCTACATGTAGACAAGCGCTAAATGGCATTTGGCTACAGCTGCAGGTTAGCCACTATCTACCACATAAAATTGAATTAAGAACGTAAGTTGTATGAACTATCTATAACATAAGTTTATCAGATACTTATAAGGAGGTGGTGAAACCGGCGCTTAGTATTAATAAATGTTTATTGATGTTTTTGTAGTCAGTACCAAAAATAATAAATATCTCAGAAACTTTCGAATTAGGGACCTCAGGGCTAGATTTGTATGAAATTAGTTGTATTATCACCTCCCGCGAGGAATACTTCGAGTTACAAGTAGGTATTTGTTTTTCAATTTCAAGAAATGTTCAATAACACTTTGCCCAGCAACAACAACAGTGTAGATATAGTCGTCTTGTTAAACGATTTAGATGCCTCTTGACTTAAATATAAGAACTATTTTCGTTAGAAGCTTTACCCTGGAAGAAAGGATTCCTTTGAAATCTTCGCTCATTACTTGGAAGTGTTTGTTATTTTGGCAGAACCTTAAGTAATTATGATGAATTGTTTCTATTTATTTGAGGTTCTTGTACCTAAATATTGAAGGAATACTAAGGTTAGAGGAATTATTTCCATCTCTTAACTAAGAGTTACTTAGCTTGAGCGAACTTACACTAATCGCTTACCTATATTACGTAAGTATACGTTGGGGGTTGCTAAAAAACTTAACTTCACGCCTTTTATCCACGAATGGGTAGGCAGAGGTGCACATTACGGCACTTAATGCCATTGTACAATGTAATTCTCACTTTTGACTATTTATGTTATGAGGCCCATGTACATAATAGGGGGTTAGCCTATTGCTTTATACCGGGCTCTGTTCCAGACTCAGTGCTGCAGCGGTTAACGTGACCTTAACCGCCGCGTAGGTCACCGGTGACGTACGTTAGCGGAGGATTTGCCTTCAACAGTTTTCTATCGGCAGTCAAAGGCTTAACAGTGATCAAACGGGAATAGTCTGGTTTTAGACTAATAAGGTTATTATGAATGGTTTACCAACATGGTCAACAATGGTTAGCAACATTGCATTTCTTTTGTTTTAAAATCGTTTTGAGCATAGAGCTGCTTAAGGAGCAAGAAACTACTTATTAAAAGGAACTCTTGAAAAAACAGAATAAATGCGGGTTCTTTTACTCTTAAAGACTACAGTCGGGTGAAAGAATATGGGTTCATTGTGTGCTTTCAAACAAAAAGTAAGCAGCCCTTTGGAGGCTTTTACTTTGTCGGCGCTGTTGTATTTTTTCTTTATGTAAATGTATGAAGAAAGGATAAAGACGATTATATATAAAGGAATGTAGCTATATTTCTTTTCACTATCTAGTAAAAACAATCTAGATCTATCTGATACTATGACTTTACAGTTGGTGCAATGGCCGAGCAACTGACTGCTGAATAACGTTTTATAATGGTTGCAATTGCTACGTGTTATTATTGCATTGTGATGTTAGTAAACACTTCTGCTTCACAGGAGGAAATCCAAGTGCGGGGATAATTTTTAAAAAAAGATATTTTGTAGATTTTTGTATTCGATGGGCTGAAGTTTGACCACTATCTCGCCTGGTGGTAAGCGATGATGTGGTCTACGATGGAGCTCGTCGTCCCATAAGAAACTTCACTCGGGCCTTGAACACTCCCAGGTTACCCTTTAGGTAGGCAGTGTACATAGAATGACAGAAGTAACACCCACTTTTCACTATTTATGTTATTAGTTCAATGTAATAGGGAGTGAGCCTATTGCCATATACCGGGCACAATTCCAGACTCCGTGCTACGAGTGAAAATTTTTTAAAAACCCAGTAATACTTTGCCCGACCCCGGAATCGAACCCGAGACCTTGCCCGGCAGTCACACTTGCGACCACTCTGCCAACGAGGCAGGCTGTACAAGAAAATCTAAGACTTATTAATATGAAAAGGAATACAAATGTCTCACCAGGCGGTGCTACCTGCGCCTCGCACAGGTCCCCCGTGTAGCCAGGCGCGCAGATACAGCTGACGGCGGCCGGGCCCATCTGTCTGTGGAGAGATCAATTTAAAATACATACTACGATGAGATTTTGTAAGATTGAGATAAAGTTCATCTAGATAAAGAGTCTTATGTACAACCGTGGACTTTATAACTTGAGGATGATGACGACAGCAATGATTATTTTACTCTCTCTTCCATATGCTTGTAAATAAAGGTATAATAATCCTGACCTCTCGGTGGCCCGGAGGTTTAAAACGCCCGCTTCTCATGTATGAGAGTGCTACCAACGGCAAGTACCAATGTGACTTTTTCCGAGTTATATGTACTTTCTAAAATTATTTAGACACCACTAACGGTGAATGAAAACATCGTGAGGAAACCTGGGCTTATAATTTCTAATTATAAGTTTGAAATGACGCATTGAGCTAGCGTGGTGATTAATGTTCAAACCTTCTCCGTGTGAGTAGAGGTTTTACTCAGTAGTGGGCATTTATAGGCTGTTAATGATGATGATGATGAATCCTAGTATATTCCTTAGGAATAGAAATCACAATTTCAGTTGAATATACCTATATACCGCAGCATGTTGAGCATTATGTATGGTTCTGATAAGATCTGATAAATAAACTCATTTATCTTACACGTTATACCAGTAAACATTATACCCACAATTACTTACACAAAAGTCTACCTTTCCCCGTCTTTTTGTGTTTAAAATCAACATACAAACAGAATTAAGGACACAAAAAGGTTTCAACAAAAAGGTTAAATAAGATCGTTGCGATGCAGATGTGGCTTCGCAACGCGACGTATAGAATGGAATATTTAGCATAGAATACTTTCAAGGTACCTATTAAAAAGGAAAATAGGTTTATTTTTAAACAAGACAGAAACACAAAGAACGTTTAATAACTATTTAGTACTTATTAACCCATGTTGTCTTTAAATGTGGATCCAAACGAGACACAACTTTTTTATGTGATAAGCCGGTAAACGAGCATACAGACCAACTGATGGTAAGCAAACGGCGTCGCCCATGGTAACCTGGAACACTAGAGGCGTTACCAGCCTTTTGGGATAAGGAATTTGAGAATTGTTGGGGATTTGGGGATTGGGAGGGGGAGGGGCGGGGTAATTGGGCCTTCAATAACCTCACTCACGCGACGAAACACAACGCAAGCGTTGTTTCACGGTGGTTTTGTTTAAGGCCGTGGTATCACTCCGGTGCCTTTAGGCTTAATTGAAAGAAAGAAAGAAAGAAGAAAGAAAAATCATTTATTTGGCAATTACACGCACAGAAAACAAAGAATATAAAAAAATAAAAATACATCTACAGAATACATACAATACATACAGAATTTTGAATAAACAATAAAAAAAAAATAATCTAATAAACAAAATAATAATATTAATTTTAATTTGCGCGTGCTAATGCCAAAAGGGCCTCCACCTCAGCATATAGTTGGACGTTTGTGCCCAACGCTGGTTTTCAGGTGGCACCCTGCAGTGACTCACGGACGGCGGTGCCGCCCCTCAATGAAGACAAAAAATAAACATGAATTCATTCTGTCTCCTGCAGTAATTCACCAAAATAACATTTTTTACAATTTTAGCTTGTCTGTCTGTCTGTTTGTTTGTACTGGATAATCTCTGGAATGGCTGGACCGATTTTGCTACATTTTTATTAGAGGATAGCGGATGTACTAAGAAATAACATAGGCTACTTTTATTTTGGTAATCGCGGGCAACACCTAGTATTTTATATGATTTCTTATACTTGCAATAGAAGTTTTCTTACCTGCAGGTGCCGCCATTTTTACACATGTTGGAGGTCGTGGGACACAGCGGACCCACTCCGCAGTCCACGCCGGAGTACCCATCGAAACACGAACAGTAAAACTCCCTGTGACATGGAAAATATTGAAGGTTAATATCGATAAACTTAATAAATAAAAACTACGGGGAAATAGTTGGGACAATATTTTGTGACTATTTAATTTAACAGTATAACGGAATATGTTTAGGGTACGGTCAAAGGTCAAAAGTCCACCGTAAGACTACTATCGGTTGCGCTGGAGTGCTTATACACACATGCACACGCATATTTTTAACCGTGTGCGCACGACAGCGTGTGTTTATGCGTACGCACGCGTTTTTATGAACATACGCATTGCCGTGGGAACATCACTCACGGTGGCAGTGGACTTTTGACCTTTGACTGTACATGTGTTTTATTTATGATTAGTTTCTATTGTTTTGTCGATCGCAGAGAAAGTACAAGAGGACCCCTCTTGTATTTACGAATTTTCAATTACAAGTGAAATTCAATGTTTATTTCCACTCCTTAAAAAATAATTAAAAACCGCTTATTTGAAAAACCTTTCCTTCAGTCGGGTTATAAAACAACGTCTATTTTCCGGAAAAATAATTTTATTTTATTTACAAAATTAAAGGCGATCTATAAAAATCAATTACTTGACGTTTATTCACTATTTAATAATTTAATTCAACTGAAAATTTGACACGAATTGATGTTGACTGTGGGAACTATATCAACGAATTTGATGCTTTATATCAATAGAAGAAATAATTTATTGTACTGAGTTTCGTGTGCACTGTCCAGTGCAGTACTGTGCAGAAGTCGCACATTTTCAATGACTACATTAACATTGCAGGCTATTTCTGAATGATACTCATTATCTGTACCCAGTGTGCAGCTCACTGTACAATCAGTGATCAAAACTGTCATCAGAATCAAATTTATGTTCTCATAAATATAATTCACGCTCTATTGCCTCCGCTGATGGGATTTTCAATAAAATGATTTTTGAAACTTCAATACCATTAATTTTACTGTCCATTTGTTCAAAAATGACTATAAAATTTACATTAAAATTCCTTTTGACGGTATGAAATGGGCACTAAATCTAATAAGTAGGGTTATATTTCTTAAAGATGTTCATAATTTTTATAAGAACTTGATAGGTACTCTTTTGTAATATAGAGGTACATTTCTTAAATATTATGTCTGTAAGTGAAAGCATCTATTAAACCTAGTGAAGTTTCTGATTTTAAATTAAGATGTTTATCTGTACTATGACCAATCCTTATCCTTACTATCCTTATTAATATTATAAATCGGAAAGTGAGTTTGTTAGTTTGTTTGTTTGTTCCGCTTTCACGCCGTAACTACTAAACCGATTGCTTTGAATTTTTGCAGACGTAAAGTTAGAAGTCCGGATTAAATAATAGGGTACTTTTTATCCCGAAAAAAATTGATATTCCCAAGGGAAAACAAAATAATTGATATAGATGGCGCTATGTGTATTGATATATGTCACATAGGCTACTTTTTATCCTTTTGTGACGCGAGCGAAGCTGCGGGTAAAAGCTAGTTTCTAATAATGAATAAAAGATTTATTATTTATCTATTGATGAACAAACGTAAGGCAGCACTTATTTAATAAAGTGGTCGTGTCTAGTGCTACTTTCACCAGTTTTACGGCTGATTTACGTAAAGGTGCTCCCTCACCGGGAGCATTCGCGTGTAATGTAACGTTACAGATCTGAGCATTACATCAGTGAAGGAGAAGAACCGAGCATTACAATGCGCACCTTGTAATGATAAAATGTGAAATATCTTGATACAACTTGTAACATCAATGCGCTCCACTTCCCCCAGCCGCCAACCCCACCTGCCCGCTTCGTCGAACATCTTGCTATGAAATGCTCAAAGTCGAATCAATATGTTACATTACACGCAAATGCTCGTTAGTCAGGGAGGTATAATTGTAATGTAATGCTCAAAGTCGAATCTATAATGTTACATTACACGTGAATGCTCCTGGTGAGGGCGCATCTTAAAGTAATTGTTTTACGATATAACTCAACAAATTTCAAGTTACGGGCTTATAATTGTCGTTATGTTTTTTATGATCGAGATAGGTATTTTGTTTGTATATTTCTTAGGTTACCTAGTGATAAGTGATGATGTGTCTAATGATGCAACACGTCTGCTTGTAGCAACCTATCCACTCAGGTCTTGAAGGCACCCAGCTAGTCTTTGTTTCAAGTTGTTAATTAAAATAAGGTAGTACTCACTGATAATCATGTCTAGCATAGCAGTGCCCCAGTAGCCGACACTCGATGGCGCTGCAGGAGCTTGGCCCCGGCGCCTGCGTAGCCGCTCGCACCTCGTACGTCACGTTGAACCCGTACACAGCCAGCAGCCCCAGCGCGCGGAGCTGCGTGCCTTCTATCCTGTTCAGGTTCAGCTCCACCACCAGTACTGGGCTTTGGACCTGCAACAAAGACAGACGACATGGTCAGAATTCTGAAATACTACGAGACGACATATTGTAACAGGGTGCTTACTCTTGAAACCAACCTCAATGTCAATGCAATTTCAATCCAATAAAATCTCAACTTATTGAATATTAAATATAATATAATATCCCTATCGTAGATGTTAAAATAGCATTCAGAGTACGGAATATAAAGCCAAACTCAACACCGTTTAGTTCATTAAATATCCACGCGAAACGGATGCAATAGACCCTATTTTTTTAAGGGGGTAAACCATCGAAAGCATTGGACCCTAGTATTGCTACTTAAGAGTATGAAATTTCATAATACCAACGTCGATCGATTGGGATTGGATTCAAGATTCAGCTACCAGGTACCAGGCAGCCGGGAACCTGTTAAACCACGATCTTCAACCCTGGTAAGTTTTTGAGTGTTCTTTGCTTCCATTGATATTATTTATTTAAAGTAACATAAACAACATAACATCACGCCTTTTATCCCCGAAGGGATAGGCAGAGGTGCACATTATGCCACTGTACAATGTAACACCCACTTTTCACTATTTATGTTATGAGTCCCATGTAATAGGGGGTGAGCCTATTGCCATATACCGGGCAGAATTCCAGACTCCGTGCTACTACTGAGAATTTATAAAAACCCAGTAGTACTTCGCCCGACCCGGGAATCGAACCCGAGACCCCTTGGCCGGCAGTCGCACTTGCAACCACTCGGCCAACGAGCCAAGTTTATTTAAAGTAATACCTATATAATTATATAGTAGGTACTCCCGAAAATGAAAATATGAATGTAGATAATGAAATGAAAATATAATATGCGGAATCTCATAACATAGCAAATATTACTTAAAGCGTATAAGTAAACAAGACTGCAAGCGTTTGATATTTGTAAGATCCGTTGATGTGTGTACCTAATGCTTGTTTATGACGTCAGCTTATACATAGGTATATCACCTTAAGAAGCTTTCAAGATTTTGTTAATTGAAAAGATTAAAATAATAAACGTAATATAAGGACATGTCTTTTAACCACCGTAGATTTTTCTTTATATTTGATGGATGGAGTTTTCTTTTTAGTTATAAGTAAAGCTGCATGCAAACATGGTATTCATTTTTCATCAGTTACATTGTTGTGAGTCCGATGTAGTAAGGAAGTACCTGATTACTGTAAGGCTGCTCATTTATTAGTTATAATTAAATATCGTGCCGTCTCTGTCATTTTAAAAAGGATTTGTAGAGACAGAACTATGGTTAAGCGCGACATAAATTTGAGTAGCCTTTCATTTTTTCATGGCGTAGATCATTTCATTGACGCCCGAATACCGGACGTAACATAACATAAACACAACATAACATCACGCCATTTATCCCCAAAGGGGTAGGCAGAGGTGCACATTATGCCACTGTACAATGTACCACCCACTTTTCACTATTTATGTTATGAGTCCCATGTAATAGGAGGTGAGCCTATTGTCATATACCGGGCACAATTTCAGACTCCGTGCTACTACTGAGATTTTTTTAAAACCCAGTAATACTTTGCCTGACCCGGGAATCGAACCCGAGACCCCTTGCCCGGCAGTCGCACTTGCGACCACTCGACCAACGAGGCAGTCAGTAATATAAAAAGGTCTCAAATATATCTTTCTTCTAATGTCACAGTCTTTGTAGTCTTTCCTCAAATTCAACGATGAGTCCGTAAGGTATAATAATTTAATTAGAAAGTTAAATAAATGAAAATGTTCTTGTAAAGTTCACAGACCTCGTTAGCGGGGCTCGAGGCAAAGGCCAGATAATATGCATATTACAAAACTGAGCATGCAAGAAAAAAACCACGCTGTATATGAATATAATTTCGGTGTAGCCGAAATGCTAATGGTTATATGAATTTATGCTAGACTGGGTCTATCCTGGCTACGAAATGTTTTAATGTCAGATGACTTTTTTTTTTTAAGGGGGGAAAATCATCGAATGACTGCTCCCGCCTGGGTGAGGCGGAAGGGAGTGTCAGACTCTTACTGACTAAAAACCACAACGTTCCTTCTCCTGCACGTCGAGTCGGAGCCCCGGTTACCCGTTAGGTTCTCCGCGACATGTCAGATGACTGCCTTGTAGGTAGAGTGAGCGTTTCTGACTGCCAACCAAGAAGTCTCTGGTTCGATTCTCAGGTCGGTCTATGCTTAACCCATTGCATTATTGTAGGTACCCTTTACTACATGAGTCTTGTTCCATAAGTAGTCTTACATGTATATTATGTATGCACCTCTGTCTACCCCAATTCATAACTATTTATGTGTTTAAAGAATTTATTTTCAAAGAAGAATTTATTTTAAGTGTGGGAGAGCCATGCTTTGGCACGAATTGGCCGGCTCGACCGGAGTGATACCACGGCCGCACAGAAAACCGACTTGAAACAACACTTGCGTTTTGTTTCGTCGTGTGAGTGAGGTTACTAATCTCCCCAATCGCCGAATCTCCAACAATCCTCAAATTCCTAATTCCCAAAAAGCCGGCAATGCAGTTGTAACGCCTCTGGTGTTTCATGTGTCCATGGGCAGCTCTGATTGCTTACCATCAGGGGATCCGTCAGCTCGTTTATCGGCTTATTCCAAAGAAAAATGCATACACAGTTCACTTATATGAAAAGTACATTTAAAATAGTATCTGTATTTTAATCTGGGTTATAAATACATTAAGTAATTATCCCAACAACCTCTAATCTGTTAATAGACTTTGGTAGTCACTGATTTATTTTGTTAATTGCTCGTTCAGAGAGAGGTAAAATAAATGTTTCCGACATGGTACTTCAGTAATTAGTAGGAAACTTTTAAATCCCGATTAAAGTCGTTTTCGGCCAAAGTGTCGTGATTTATTTAGTTACGTTTGACTTTGTAATAAACGAGTAGCCAGAGGCCATGATGGAAGAAAAATAAAAGTATTTTCGGCTTTGAGAATTAGTGGGTAGGTTAGTACAGGAATCAAGTGTCGAATGTTCATAGTCAGTACCAATAGTCGTTTTTCGAAATTATAGTCCTTTTTAGGGGCGAAATCATTAATTCTCTAACCCTGAGGTGAGTGTGCCTGACTCTTACTGACTAAAAACACTGTTCTACTACTACTGCTTTAAACCAGAGCCTTATATTTAGTTTTATTAGTGTTTGTTATAAATAATTTAATGAATAATAATAAATAGGTAGACAATAAAAACATCATCGACACAATATTAACATAGTAAAATGACTTTTATTTACAAATATCTTAATAAATAATAATGATTTAATACCAGCCTTTTCTTATTTACGTCAGATAGTGCACTCGGGAGTAACAATCCTTCCATAATTTATACACAATCATCTCGATCCCGCCCGAGACACAGATAAAGTATAATTAATTTATTGATGCAATTAGTACTTCTGTGAAGAACTCAATTTGTCCCAAGATTATTTTAATACTGAAGTTCAGAAGAAATTTACTTTTTTACAGACTTTTTCATAATTTTATTTAAGGGCAACATGGAACCGATCTGAAAAATTTTTTTTTTATGGCTATAAGCGGACAGACGGATCACTTGATGGTAAGCAATCGGCGTGTCGCGGAGAACCTAACGGGTAATCGGGGCTCCGGCTCGACGTGCAGGAGAAGGAACGGGGTGGTTTTTAGTCAGTAAGAGTCTGACACTCCCTTCCGCCTCACCCAGACGGGAGCAGTCATTCGATGATTTCCCCCCCTTAAAAAAAAAGCAATCGGCGTCGCCCATGGACACCTGTAATTGGTGTTCCAGGTGTTACAAATGCGTATCCGGCCTATTGCGATTAGAAATTTGAGGATTGTTGGGGATTCAAGAAATCGGAAGGGGGTGGGGTGAGCTAATTGGGCCTCCGGTAACCTACTTCATTCACGTGAGGCCGTGGTATCACGGGTATCCGTGGTATCCGGTCGAGCCGGCCCATTCGTGGCGAAGCATGGCTCTCCCACACTTAAAAATATAGGCTGATAATGATCATTAGGTGATGTTGATATCCAGTTATGCACCGTGACACTTTTGTCTACCACTAGCAACTCGCAAGCAGTTTCACCCGCTCTGCTCGGCTCCTATTGATTGTAGCATGATGTTTTATGTCTTCCTTGAAATGAAAAAAATACGTTATTGATTTTTATAGATCAACAGCCTATACAGCTTATAAGTGCCTACTGCTGAGCAACGCCTCTTCTCGAACGGAGATGGTTTGAGCATTAATCGTGAATTGTGTAATGAGCAAGCGTGGTGCTTGCTTATTACGGGTTGGCGATTTCAAACTTATAATTAGAAATTATAAGTCCAGGTTTCCTCACGATGATCTCTTTCACTGTTTTCAGTGGTGTCTAAATAATCTTAGAAAGTACAATCATATAACTAAGAAAAAGTCACACTGGTCCTTGCCGTTGGTGGGTTTCGAACCCACACCCTCCCACCGTGAGAAGCGGGCGTCTTAAACCTCCGGGCCACCACGACACCTCAGACTTCTTCAGATTTCAGACTTTACTTAAATAAATAATACGAATTTTTCATAACCGGACCCAGTAGTTCCCGAAATTCGCGCATTCAAACCAACAAACAACTAAATAAATAAAAGTAAATGATAAGTTTATTAAATAAAAGTAGAGGTATATAATAAGTTTAATACAATTATATAATAATTTAAATAAAAGTATAATAAGTAAAGTATTGATAATATACAATATTGATCATATCAACTTATCATATACTTTACCTTGACATCATGATATAGGACAAACAAGGTTTTATTAGCTTCCATTGTACTTGGAACAGGAAGAGCTGCTAGACCTCAGTACAGTACTGCGGATGTTGTGGTAATGTTGTGGGAACCAGACTGAGACCAGCCGCAACAAGTCTTTATAGTGACCGCAACACAGCCCGACAAGCTCTATGAACTGACACAATTTTTCAAATCGAATATTTGGGTCATGATAAACATCGCTATTTTTCACAATAGGGTAGATGACTAATTTTTATTTCAATGCCCGTCTGCTAGATTATTTAAAAACATTAGACACGTATTTTTTATTTTCTAACGGAAACGAATAATTTCGTAGATATATTCATTTGAAATATCGCTTGACGACACTTTTAATTACGATTTATACTCTAAAATGACATAGCTGCATCCCATTCCTAAACTTTGATTGGTTTTATCTAAGAATTGTTTTCTTATACGACCAAATAAAAAAATACGTGTCTAATAATTTTTCATTACGTAACTGACGGACTAATTAGATTTTTAATTTTCATACCCTGTCCTCATCCCTATTATCATACTAAACACAAACTGGGTTTATACATTAACCTGAAAAACAACCACTATTCAATATACAGCGGTCACATTTACAGAATACGTACTTATATGAGCAGTTTTCAGGAAACTGAAAAATGACTGCCTCGTTGGCCGAGTGGTCGCAAGTGCGACTGCCGGGCAAGGGGTCTCGGGTTCGATTCCCGGGTCGGGTAAAGTATTACTGGGTGTTTTAAAAATCTCAGTAGTTGCACGGAGTTTGGAAATGTGCCCGGTATATGGCAATAGGCTCACCCTCTATTACATGGGACTCATAACATAAATAGCGAAAAGTGGGTGTTACTTCTGTGTGCATCTCTGCCTACCCCTTCGGGGATAAAAGGCGTGATGTTATGTTATGTTATGTTGAAAAATACTCCTGATGATCTTATAACACTGTCTAGTCGGGATTAGAACTCGAGCCCCCTTGTTCAGCAGTCGCACTTAAAGCACTACTCGACCGCTCGGTAAGGCAGTCGTTGTTAAAATATAATCAAAGCGAATGATGTCTGAGAAGCTCCACTGACAATATAGTAATATTTTCTGTAGCATTTTCCTTTTGCTAATATAGAATACAATTTCCGTCATATTTCGCTTTGTTACACATGACAACGATTCTCCATATAACAATATCTTTGACAACATGGCTTCGAAGTTTTGCAAAAGGATGGACACATACGTACACGTGTACTACTATCATAACAGTGCCCCTGTTTACAAGTGTCATATTCTCTTCAACGAATCTTTACTATTATTCATTGAGAATGACTATAGAACCATATAAGAGAACAGAAGGCATTATTACTAACTAGCTTTTACCCGCGGCTTCGCTCGCGTCACAAAAGGATAAAAAGTAGCCTATGTGACATATACCATTACACACAGCGCCATCTATACCAATACTTTTGTTTTCCCTCAGGAATATCAAATTTTTCTGGGATAAAAAGTACCCTATTATTTAATTCTCAGACTTCTAACTTTACCTCTGCAAAATTTCAAAGCAATCGGTTCAGTAGTTACGTCGTGAAAGCGGAACAAACAAACAAACAAACTCACTTTCCGATTTATAATATAAGTAAGGATAGTCGTATGACTACGGAAACTGGTAAACTATGTGTAACTAGTGTAATAGAATATTTTTTCACAAAAAATCATTAAAAATAACGTGTCAACCAAACGCACCACCTATAAATTATGTTTTCACATTTTCATATTGATTTATTTATATAATTATTTATTAACTTCAGTATTATTGTAATGTAGCATATCTCGAAAACTCACCCTTGGGCCCCTTGTTGCCGCAGTGCTGGCGAAATACCGGCCTGTCTCTCGCTTCAACTTCGCGCAATGAGTGTCGGGCTGCGCGATGGCTTCACGACATACCCACACTAATTTTATTGTCGTGATACAGTTTATAAATTTATTTTATTTTTATTATTTTTTTCCTTCGGTGACGGTACACGTTACACTTGTTTATGTATGCATACTCATTTTTATTCATTTATTTATCGCACAATGTACATACTTAGAGGTCTGTTTTTATTCTTCCTTTTATTTTATTATTATCATTATATTTTTTAACATGTGTCTTATGTAACTATTTTATTTTCCTTAAAATTATTCTTCGTTGCTTCCGTCCGTGCGTCACTGCAGGGGTGCCAACTGAAAACCAGTGTTGGGTACTTACTGTGCCCAGCTTAAACTGAGTTGGTGAGCCCTTTTGTCGCGGACATGCTGCCACCCTGCCTTAATTGTTGTTTTATTTTTTACTGCTGTTTTTTTTTATGTTATTATTGTTTTGTTCTTGTTGTTTTTTATTTTATTTTTTTATTTTTTTTGTTTTTCAATGTTATTTTGTTATTATTTTGTGTGTTATTCGGTGGTCCATGTCGGTGGCAAATAAATTATTTTTCTTTCTTTATTTCTTTCTTTCTTTCAAATAGTAAGTAGGTACTGTCAGACATTACGATATTATTTTAACATTGACCTCGTAAAATATGAATTGACACACATTTATAAATAAAGGCATAATAATAATATGTTTAATTTATAAGGCTTCACTATTTTGTAATAGAGGCTCAACTGGAGGTATTTTCATAAGCGGCAACGATTTTACCTACAATGCTGCGTAGTGCTGCATGCAACGGCAGGGGAATTGGGTGCAGGTGCCTTGCTATGCCGCCATCGTCAGGCCCCGTCAAGAGAAGAAAGTCAAAGTCAAAGTCAAAGTCAAAATCATTTATTTCAATTAGGCCAGAATGGCACTTTTGAACGTCAACAAAAACAAAAATTTAAAGTGAAGCTATTTGCTCATTCCAAGGCGTAGATTCCTATGGAGAAGAACGAGCAAGAAACTCCATAGGTTACTCTTTTTCAATCAGGTTCACAATACAATTTACTAGTTACATAGTTTTGCTGTTTGGATTGTGCGAGAACAATGTAACACTAAAATCCAGTCAAAGTGATCAAAAAGAAAATAACCTTAAGGACAGTAATACAGTCTGGAGCTGACCAGTCCCAGTTGACGCGCCCGTTCACGAACATGACACGTACACAGCACGCCCAACTCAACCATATTGTAGGGAATCGAGCGATCCACTGCACGCGCCACCGCCAATGAGACCTTTGAGTGAGCATGACAACTCCAATCTGACACAAATGAAATCTACTAATCTAATTTAATATTAAGTTAATTACAGGGCTCTCACATTTACAATGGTTATCTAAGTTAAACAATATACAATTTAGCAATATGGCTGTATTATTTACGATTTCATTAAAACAAGTGTTTTTAGTTATCCTGTGGAGCCGGACTAGCCTGCATCCAAGCATTTTTATCCTCTATATATTCATTAAGTTTGTAATATGCTTGTCTACATAAAGTTTTCTTTATACATAATTTAAATTTCGATTCATTTAGTTGTTGTACATCGCCTGGTATCTTATTATAACATTTAACACAGAATCCCATGAACGACTTACTTACTTTCGCTAATCTCGAAATTGGCTGACTTAATCTATTCTTATGTCTAGTTTGATAGTGGTGTCTGTCCGACACTTTACCAAATAACTGTAGGTTTTTCCTAACATACATAATGTTTTCATAAATAAATTGACATGGAACGGTCATAATGTTGATCTCCTTAAACCTTTCTCTGAGTGATTCGCGACGACCTAGATTGTAGATAGCTCTGACGGCGCGCTTTTGTAAGATAAAGATAGATTCAATGTCAGCAAAGACCTAAGAAGTGATGGCTTGATGTCCAGGCGACCTGGTCACCGATTTACGTGAAATCGATAAACTATCAACAGCCTATAAATGCCCACGCTAAGCAAAGCCTCTTCGTACACGGAGAAGTTTTGAGCATTAATCACCAGTGGTGTGTAAGTTCCCGCATTGAGCAAGCGTGGTGAATCACCACGCTTGCTCAATGCGGGAACTTACAATTAGAAATTAAAAGCCCAGGTTTCCTCAAGATGTTTTCCTTCACTGTTTGTCAGTGGTGTCTAAATAATATTTGAAAGTACAAATATCTCGTAAAAAATCACATTGGTAGGTTTCGAACCCGCGTTTTAAATCGCGTCGTTCATCACATGATGAACTATAAAGGATGCGAAAGACCGCGCGACCGGAGAAAAAAAGCTGGAAGGCGAACCCTGGACCCCGAAAGGAAAGAACCGAATAAATGATAATGAGTCTTGTATCTACGTGGTTTTCTAGAAAATTATGCAGCTTTATTACCTCGTCAAAGATTATCAGGAGTAACATTTTTATGAACTAAAGCATATTCGAGCGTATTCCTTTTTAAAAGGGCGGCGCTGATCGCTTACCATCAGGTGATCCGTCTGCTCGTTTGCCTCCTATTCCATAAAAAAAAAACTAAAAGCAACCAATTTCTCTAAAAATATACGACGGAAGATAGTCATAGAAATAAATCAACCGTACGGAAATTGACTCCGCGTCATAGAGTAGTCAATCGACAAGTTATTACGTTAAACGTGCCTTTAAAAAAGACGCCAACTTAGACCGAATTTGATATTCTAAAATAAACTTAAAGGTGCTTGGTTTAAGGTTCATTGTGTGTGGAGAAAGATTAGGTGGAAATACAGTTTTAAACTAGAATGTCGCCTTAGGGACAAATGTAGGAATACTGGAACATTGCTTCTTAGCTACAGTTGCACAGTGGCACCGATTTTTGCATATTTACCTGGGGGAGTTTTGTTGCTTAAACTTTTATGGGGAATTCACACGTTAGCCTTAGGTTTTATTTAAACTCGATTCCTTTAAAACATTATTTAACTGTGTTTATTGATTGTGGATATAATGTTTAATAGTAAGAGCCTGACACTCCCTCCCGCCTCACCCAGGCGGGAGAAGACATTCGATGATTTTCTCCCCTTTAAAAAAACCCTATGAAAATGTAGTAAATCGTACACGATATTTCGAATCAATGTATCGTCGAAAG